TCTCAGTAATTTTCGACATGAGCCTAGCCTTTGTAGCTAATGAAGGCTGATATGAGCCAAATGTTGTCCCAATTAAGTTCACATTGCCATTTCCACGACATCCCCCCATCATAATCATTTTTTGATTTGCCAAAAAGATACATCAGAAACTAAATAATCAGTGAAGTGAATAATTTTTAAACTCAAGTTTTCAGTTCATTTATAATATCAGGATTAATATAATTATATAATATCAATAAATTCATAAAGTGCAAATAGAATTCCTCGCTATTTTAGCCACATTAAACATAGAGAGCTTAGAGAGTACTATATAGTTACCCAATGAGAATTAGAAGACACCATAAAATGTATTAAATGCAAATCTACCATATAAACTGACGTGAGAGGTGCAAACAACGGAAAGAGAAAAAGGCATACAAGAGATGCCATCTGATACACCTACCAATTATAGTAGATTAAGGAAAACACGTCCAATTGAAAGAATGTCAAATCAGGGGTATTTTATGACAGCCTAGTTTAACAAAAGGAGTCATAGCTGTTAAATATATTTAGCATCCAAGAGAGGAATACAAAGAAATAAAAGAAAAAACTGATTGGAAACGAGTACTATACACTTCAGTACAAATAACTTGCCTCATCTAGTTTCTTTTCTGCTTCCCAGTAAAATGTCCACTTGCATCATGAGTTATCCCCTGAAACAAGAATCAAGAAATAAATTCAAAATTTCATCGGGTTCATCATTAAACCATGAAAAGGAGTTAAAGTATCTGGGCTTCATGAGTGATTATTAAGAAATCCATGTGGTTAATCTTACTTATTATCATAAATCCCAGTTTTCTTCTTTGCAGCCTTATAAGCTTCATTCCTCTGCTTTTGCTCTCCCATTTCCACATTTTCAAGCATATCAATCTCTGGTATATCATCAAATGTATGCTGAAATATAATCATAGAATAAATTTATCTCCTCTTTAGGTATTAAATAAAAATAAACTCTAAATTTAAGACGAAAACCTGCACCTCAAATATTTTAGATAGCTGCAAGGCTTTCTCTTTGTCAGCATTTCTTTTCTCTTCAAGCTTTCTGCTCGTCTACCCATGATAAAACCTCAGAACCACCTTCTGACTTTTTCTTCAATATTTCTTCCCTTATTTTGCAACGAAATGTAATTAATGATTCTCACCCGCAACAAAATGTCAGAAGACCTATTACTGGATGCATATTGCTCACAAATTGGAAGCATAATTTAAATCCACTTGATCACTTCCGGTGTGTTATGACTATATTTCCTTCAATAATAAAATCATTAAATGAAACTGTTATCTTCTCCCCCAAACCAGACACACAGACATTATCATATATGATCAACTAAAATCACACACGCGTTACAAAAACACATAACCTCAGATGTACTAGAAAGTGACTATTTGCAGATGTAACTTCAAGAAAAATTGTAAATAAGTAAATACCATAGGCAGAAGTATTAGTACTTGTAATTGCCCCAGTAGTGTTAGTCCAACCAGAACCAGGAGTAGGTGTTTCATAAGCTCGTGAAGGAGGACTTCCAGGCTGAAAATAGTCAAGAGTTTAACATCACTTAGTTATTGTTGTTTAGAACAGCAATAAATGTATGCAAATCAGGGGATTCCTATAACAGACACAACCATTATAAACAGCTAAGTCTCTAACCAGAACAACACAAACAGGGGACTCCTCGACAATTTCAATCCATTTTACCAAAAAAAAATCATTTTTTTTTAAAGCGCCATCAACAAATAATTGCAAGCGCCAACAATCTTTTGAGCTCACAAGTCAATCACAAGCAAATAAGAAACCCATTTCTAAACTTTGAATTCTCATTTAAACGCTTAGTCAAAGCCCAAATATATCAAATGAGCAATCCCGATTAAATTCTATTCAATTTTTTCAAAGATTCAATCTTTAAATCTAAATGGGTAAAAAATC